AGCTGGTGAATGAATAAGTATATAATTTTTAATCCCAAAGCTGTGACTTCCTTAGAATAGCATCTTTTTTCTTGGAATTGTGCATCTTTAAGCATATAAATATTATTTCTGCAGATAAGAGAGTCCAAGGTCTAGGCTGACCTGGAAATTCTGTTCTGTTGTCTTGTCTCCTAGGAATTTTTCAAGTCTGCTCTCCTGAAGTTACTCATTTTTGTTGTTTTCACTACAGTTGTTGATATTTTATCTTGGCTGTATCTGTTACCTGTACATCAAAGGATACAGTGAACATATTGCCACAGTAGTGCTATGCAGCACATGGCTTCACAACCTCCATGACATACAACAGTAAGCCATTAGTTGGCTTGAACTTGAACTGAGCTTACCCTAGGTTAGAGAATTCACTGAATGTTTCTCACCTGATCTCTTATAGCCTTGGCAGGGACAACTTCGGTGACTCAGATCTGCTTCACATGTCTTTTTTTTTTTTTTTGCTGACAGGCTAGCTTAGGCAGATCCCCATGACATTATTGTTGCAACAATAATCATTATGTGTGAGGTGTGGTGTTCTGCTGTGTTCAAGCCCCTTTGCCCATTTATTACCATGTTCTGCTCACAACAGCCTTGTAAGCTCACTAGAGAGAACACTGATTCGCCTCATGTTGAGGGCTAAATGAGGTGAGAAGAATCATTCGAAGTCATACAGTTCAGAAGCATCAAGCCAGGACTTGCTGTGAGATCCTGCACCTATCCTGGGCTTCCCCCAAGGCTCCAGGCTACATCTCTTTCAGCAGCTATTTGTGCCCAGCCAAAACTACTTAGGCATTTCTTTTGTAAGATTCCAGATATATCATCAGATACTCTGTGAATAGTATACTGGGATCCATTCACCTCATATGAAACATCCTATGCCAGCTGATCAGGGACAGGGTCTTTTGAGAAATATGACACACCAGGCTTCACAAGAACAGATTGCCAAAGTACAGATTCCCACGGGGGAAAGAGAAGCTCTAGTAGTTATGAAACTTGAAGTAAAACTCCAGAAGAGCCCTTTTCTTTTCTTCTTTTTCTTTTGTCATTTGTGGGGCTGGGGCTTGACCTTATGGCCTGGACGCTGTTCCTTTGCCACTTTGTGCTCAAAGCTATGCTCTACCACTTGAGCTACAGAGCCATTTCTGGGTTTTGAATGGTTAATTGTAGATAAGAGTCTTACAGACTTTCCTGCCCTGGCTGGCTCCACAGTCCTCAGATCTCAGCCTCCTGAGTAGCTAAGATTACAGGGTTGAACCACTGACATCTACCTCAGAAGACCCTTTCTCTAAACCTGCATCACTTGTCATTTCTGGAGAAGATCCTCCATGGTCTCCATCATTTTGGTTGCTGTCGTAGAGCTTGGATTCCAGATTACACTGTAACACCTTTTGGGTACCCAAGGGTTGGGGCCAGTTCAAACATGTTTTTATATTTTTATTAGCATACATCAAGGGATTTTCTGTGGTGATAATTAAGTGAGATATTCCTTACAAAGTACCAAGTACATGCATGGAGTTTCTCATAACCAACAGTAGCAAATGCAATATCATTATTAGCTATGATATAATCATATCCTTCTGAAATACAGGAATAGTCAAATGAATCTGAAAACTGCCTTACTTCAAAAAATAAATGAATACTTGTGCCAGTTGTACTGACAGTGCCATCACTTCCAGTAGGCTCTCTGTATCCTATATCCTATATTTGGACTTTGTACCTTTGTTTTGCTCCTTTGTTCTATTTACTTGTGTATTTTTTGGTTTGCGTATTTCTTTTTCTAATAAGAAGTTGTTTTCCAGTGAATAATATGGGAGAGATTTATCGTGGGGGTATGATAACCACAGAGGCAAGCCTGCTCTCAGATGCCAGGGACATCCCTTCCGCCGGCAAGGAGCCCTACTGCCTTGCAGGCCTTTCAGAGAGTCTCCAGAGGTGATTTGTCTCACAGGGTGTCTGGTTGATAGCAAGCTTCCCTGCCTCTCCCTGCCTTATGCATACAAACCAATGTGGCTTTCCATAGCTATCACCCTGAAAAGCACTAAGAGTTCAGTCCATTTCTGCTGTATTTTTACTTATTCTTCATACCAATCCAAGCATTGATATTACAGTGTGTTAGATGGTGCTTCTTGCCTTGAAACAAGATCAATACTTAATATAGGAACATGGTCCGGGTGAGATGGTTTTATGGACTTCTAAGCAGTGCTGGCTGCTTCAGTGAGTTGAATATGTCAGTGATGGACAGCTTATTTAGATCTTGGTTAATCCACAGATGTGCAGTTCTGTGTTTCAATTACTGAATTTGGATGTCCTTTCAAGGATAATGTTAAGACCTGCATATTATTGGATCAGCCAAGTCACATAGCAAAAGAGGGTTTGAATCCATTACAATTTGGATATGATTTTTCTGGCTTATCCACCAGGCTGTAAAATACAGCATTAATTATTTTTAAATTGAAATCTTCTAAAAACAACAAAGGCAAATAATTTTGTACAGATTATTAATATGTCAATCAATAAAAAGTTATTTTTAAAGATTTCTCTGTATGTCCATCTTACCAGATCCTCAGAGGTTAGAGAAATATAATAGGGTCTTTACACCTACACACCAACTACCTACATAGAAAATCACACAAAAAGACAAGTTCAGAGTGGAAAGATAGAAAATATGAATAATAATTTTTCAAAGGAGTCACACCAATGGAGAAACCATTGCTATTACTGTGATGAATGGCTTTACAAACTCTATGTATATATGCATATAGACAGAACACATATGCCTAGAAAATGTAACAAAAGATATACATTACTATTTTTAACACTTTTGACTTAGCAATGTACTATGAATGTATTTTTTATGAAAATGTGGATGTTCCTCAACCCTTTTAATATTGTTACATTGGACAATGAATCAGTTTATAAAACTCATCCCTATGGTATACTTTATTAACTTCTGATAATTTTACATAGCCAGCAGCTTGGGAATAAATATGTATTTGTGCATTTGTCTGGTGTTTCCAAGAATCAGAAGTGTTAGATTGTACTTTAGAATCTTAGAATCAGGCAGAAAAGACAAATGTTTATGTGTGTGCATGTGTGTGAATGCACACACACACGTATACAGAGGACTAAAAAGGGGACTAAATTAGTTCAATAGTCAACAGTCAAAAGCTTGAGACCATTTTATACTTAGGTTGCTACAGAAGGCTTTGTGAAAGACAATTCTTGAGTGACAGAAACTCAACCCAAAACAGCCTAAGTATACAAGGCTCATGAAATTGGAAAGTTTACTTGGTTTCAGATTGAACTGGGTTTGGTGTCACATAATGTTGGTAGGTGTTTGTGTGTGCGTGTGTGTGTATGCATGCATGTGTGCAGTATTCTCAGGTGAGTTCTTTTTGTAGGACAACTGGCTCCAACGTCTCTAAACCTGAGAGAAGTGTTTAAATAGGAAAAAAGGCCCTCTCTCATATCTTCTCTATTAATCTCTACATAGCCCCATAATCAGACTTTCTATTCTCCTACCATTATAAGACAGAATAAATTCTGGTAGCTAACCTGTGTCTTATGATGAGGAGCAGGGGTGAGAGGATCGAGGACTCCACGTTGTGGAGCAGTCCTGTTCTCAACAGGAAAAGATGGGGAGATTCATTGAACCACAACTCAACTCATTGAGGTTGTTGGAAATTGAGCCATTGTAGATGCTTTAGGCTACAAGTAATTGGGAAACTCCAAATCAACATGGCCTCAGCAATGCTTGTAATATTTGAGAGAGTCCCGAGACAGAGTGGACTCTAGTAATATATGGCAAATGACTCAGTGATCCCATTAAGGACTCAAGTGCTTTCCAACTCAGGGTTAACTTCATCCCAAGTCCAATTTCCTCCAGTATGACTGCCAGTGGCAGCTAGAGCCCAAGTTTCCTGTCCAAATGTAGCAACATAGGGTGAGGAATGGCTCCTTTTGTCAACACAAACATTGAAAATAAGTGGAGGGAATGGGGTTCCCTTAAAAAGGAATGGGAAAGGTTGGGAATGTGGCTTAGTGGTAGAGAGCTTGCCTGGCATCCATGAAGCCCTGGGTTTGATTCCTCAGTACCACATAAACAGAAAAGGCCAGAAGTGGTGCTATGGTTCATGTGGTAGAGGCTAGCCTTAAGCAAAAGAAACTCTACCATAGTGCCCAGGTTCTGAGTTCAAGCCTCAGGACTGGCAAAGAAAAATAAAGTGGGAATTAATGTTGGGTACTCAGCCAACAAATGATATTTCATTTCTTGTGTAGGAAACATGAGGTTAGATAAGGTAAAGTAATTTCTGTCTAGAAGGTAGACTTCTAGGAGCTAGCCTGGTTATAGTTGACCAAGATGTAGAAACAGGTTTGCAAAGTCAGCCCTGCAGGGATCAGGATAATAAGCAACTCAGTTTGGAAATGTTCATCTGTTTATTCTCCTTCATTTCAGACTACCTATGAGGCACCAATCCTGTACCAACTTCTGGAGATATGGCAATAATTATAAGATAAATTCAATGTCCTTATAAATTTCTCATGGGGGAGTTCAACAGATAAATTAACCTAATATAGTATCAATTATAATGAGTGGGGGCAGATGAAAAGGGGTAAGTGGGCTGTTAGGTTGACATTTGAGGGGGAAACTGAGGGGAACACGGAGTTGGTCGTTGAAATACTGAATGGAAGTGTTCAGGAACAGCAAGTTCCAGGGTCCTGAAACAGCCATCCATGGCATGCTGTGGAGAAAGAGGATGAGGACAAGAGGCCAATGGCCAGCAGTGAGGTAGAAAGGAAGCTGAGGCCAGTTCACATCAGGTCTTGCAGGATTGCAAAGACTTTCTACTTGCTGTGAGTCTGAGGGTACATTCGTGAGAACAAAGAACATCGATGAAGCAGAGGCTGACCAGACCCTCAGCCCCTCAGCTCTGCCTGACCTTACCTCTTTCTTTTCTCCTCTCTTCTAGGCCATGTACATGTTCTACGCACTGGCCATTGTGTGCGATGACTTCTTCGTCCCCTCCTTGGAAAAGATCTGTGAGGTATGTCCCTTGTATTCCCTGTGTGTCTGGATAAGCCCTGGGATGGGTGCTGTGCTGTGATTGGATTCCAGCCTCCTTGCTGAAATCCTGGTGAGACTTAGATGCCAGACACCTGCATGTGTGAAAGAGGACAATATTAACATAAAAAGCTCAGTCTCTTTAGCATTCCATAATATCAACAGATCATCAGACTTTAACCAGCCAGCTTTTCCTGCTGCATTTAGCCATAACTGGTGCTAGAATTGTCCCAAAGTGTCCCCAAGGGACCTGGGGAATACCATAACCTGGGGCCACTCAATTCCCTTTTGGAAAATGGAGTCATATTTTCATGCACTCCAAATATCTCCTCTATACCTTAAATCATCTCTAGATTACATGTAATATCAAATGCTATACATATGCTGTAAAGATAGCTGCCAAACTATGTTGCTTATGAAATAATAACAAAAATTTTCAAGACAAAAATTTGGAGCTGGGTGCTGGTGGCTCACACCTATCATCCTAGCTACTAAGGAGGCTGAGATCTGAGCATCACAGTTCAAAGCCAGCTCAGGCAGGAAAGTCTGTGAGACTCTTATCTCCAATAAACCACCAGAAAAACAGAAGTGGCGCTGTGGCTCAAGTGGTAGAGCACTTGACTTGAGCTGAAGAGCTCAGGGACAGTTCCCAAGCCCAGAGTTCAAGCCCCACAACTGACCCCCCCAAAAAAATTAGGCATGTTTAGTACAGACACAGTTTTATCCAATGTTTATCAGCCATCATTGGTTGAATTTACAGATTAGAGCCCTCAGGAAGGGCCATCTGCCTTTGTGTTTTGCTTCCCCACTTTCTTTTCCTCTTTTAGATCTTGCCATTTCTTATGTCTTTTTCTTCCTCTATCTTCCTGTCCTCCATTTCCTTCTGCTTTCTGAACTGTCTCAAGATAAGAATCCTGTGACACCACACACTTCCCTCAAGACTCCTCTCTGTATATGTTACAGACAAGGTTCATGAGGAAACCCAAAAGGCACTAAGGTAAAAGAACTGGGCACAGAGATCCAGGAAAGTGTCTAGATCACAGATCATCACAGTGAACACTAAGCCAAAGAACATGTTGAATCTCATTCATCAAAACATATTTACCCTATCTAAGAACTCTCTCATTCTCTTTCATCTCTCCATCTATTCTGAGGCATGTTATGATTTATCTTCAAGATTTAAATTTATGATTCATTTATTGTTCATTCGGCATCCTAGTTAGCAGAGAACGTGTCTCCCAGACAGAGCTCCCATCTGGGTCTCTCGTTTTAGTATGTCACTGATCCTCAAATCTTGGACAGCATCTCCTTCCCATCCTCCTCCCTTCAGGGTCTGGTTCAGTAGATCTTAGGGAACAAGGAGGAAAATGGCTAGAAGTTACATTTCTAAAACGTTCCCAGGTGATGGCAAGGATTCTTACTTGGAAATCACACTTGAAGAATCACTAACTTAAGCCATTTCTTCTACATTCTGGAAGGTTGTTTTTGTTTGTTTACTGTTTTGGTATTTATAAATTATCACTCCACAATAATATGCTGATTTCTGCCCCAAACAGTCCCCCTTTTACATTCATGCCCCATTATTATTTTCATCCTCCCCCTCCTCCTCATCATCATTTAAGTCAAAATTCCACAAATGAGTAAAAACCTTTGATGTTTGGCTTTTTTGAACTTAGCTTACTCCACATGATGAGCTTGAATTGCATCCATTTCCTTACAAACAACATAGCTTCCATTTATATGGCTGAGTAATACACCATGGTACTAAATATCTATACACACATACACATATACATTATATAGACACCATATTTTCTTTAGCCATTTATTGGTTGGACACCTTGGTTGATTCCATAGCTGACTATTGTGAATAGATCTGTAGGAACAGAGAAACCAGAGCCTAGAGACTTTGAGAAAACTTGCTCCAAGATCACCCAACTAGTTAGGGGAGGAATCATGATCTGAACCTGTCAGCCTGAGCTCTACCCTCCATGCTTTCCTGCCCCTCTGCTCCACAGAGATGAGCTTATCCTTGTGCTGTCCCTATCTCTGCCTGCTGACACGATACTGTGGTTCCTTGGGGGGACAAAAGCCGAGGAAGGGAGAAAGCTCAAAGGGAAATTGTTTTCAGCTTTTGTGAATCATGATTTGGGAAAGAAAGCTACATTATTCAACACATCATAGCTAGGGATACATTCTTAGTTTCCAATCCTTTAGAGTCATTTACAATAGTGAGGTTGGTGGGAAGCAAGTGAAGGAAAAGGAAGAAAGAAGAGGACCAATGTCATGGTGATCCTGAAAGCACATGCCACGCCCTGGCGTTAACAAAGTCCCTACTCCACACCACCCACTTCACCTGCCCAGACCTCAATTTGCCCTTTTCCCTGTGTGAAACCCCAACCAAACATAAGGAGGTTTCTTCATGAGACATACAAAGATGTCTAGCACATTGGGAAATCCTATGTCCAGGGTGAATAGAGGCAAAGGCGGCAGGGGGAGGGAGAAAGGGAGGAAGGAAGGGAGGGCATTGAAGAAAAACCAACAAAAGCTCACCAAGGGTGAAACCACAGCATTCGTTCCTGGGGCATAAGCAGAAGCTTATGGACCAAAGGTGAAATCAGATGGGAAGAGCAAGAAAGCTCTGAAGCCATGATAAAGTCTCCAGGGCAGCAGTAGGTCTTTCCAAGCAGTAAATACTAAGCTAGGCTCTGCTTAGGCCCAGCTCTGTGCCAAAGGCTGTGGAGGAAACCAAAATACAGTATTGTTCTTTCCATTTAAGGATTGGCAGGCTCTAGAATGATATCATTGCCTCTCTATGTAGTAAGTCTTGTATCTGAGCATTCAACCTTAGATTGGAAGTATTTTTTTTAAAGTTCCACCTGAACTAAATATGTACATACTTCTTTCTTGTCATTATTTGCTACCAGTATAGCAATTATTTACATAGGAAGTAATCTAGAGATGATTTACATGTAAAAGATTTATAGGTTATATGTGCACACTACAAACATCTTCAGAGCTTAGTATCCTTGTGGTTCGTTTGCTAACAAACATATAGATGGCTATCTACTAAGAGGGTGGATGAAGTGATGGGAACTTAGAAAGTGAACGCGCAAAGGGATTAATGATGCTGGGGGTGGCATGGCAGGGCCTGTACAGGGGAAAGGACCAGAGGAGTGGTGCTTGAAGGAAAGATCTTATTGACCAAACATTTCAAGAAAATATAAATGTGATGGCTGGATAATACACTCCCATAACCTCAGCACCCAGGAGACAGAGTCAGGAGTTTTGTGGGTTAGAGGCCAGCCTGGGAGTTACAGACCCAGATCAAGGGCTTTTATTAACTCCTTGGATCTCTGTATGTCAGGCTGGAGAGTAAAGAATTCTTCCATGCCCGAGAAGCAGCCTAGGACTTACCCAGACTATACCATAGCCATTAGAAGTGTGGAGGCAAGAAAGTCTCTAGCTGCTGATTCTAAGACCCTAGGATATTGCCAAGGATCAAGGAAATTGGAGATGAGATAGTGAATGGAAGGAGACATGGGAAAAGCAACAAATGGACTGGATGAAGAAGAGAGCAATAGGACACGAGTCAGCTTCAGAGGCTATGGAGCCTAGGTGGGGGGAGGGGAAAAGCTCACCACTGTGGCTCACAGCAGACCAGCCACAACAGATCTGAACTCTGTGTCAGGCTATCTTCCTTACTATCCTCTGCTCCACAAGACTGAATAATCCAAGCATCCCTCCGAGCCATGGTTTTCGGTACCTTATGGGTTTGGTTTTCTTCACTCCTTGTGAGAAGTTGTGCTGTTGAGTGCAGAGCTGAGGAACCCAGGATGCAAGATCAAATTCTTCTCCTCCATTGGGGTTCTTGCTCCATGCCGCTCCTTGCCCCACAGTCCATTGTCCATCAGTCCATTGTCCATCAGTCCATTGAGCCAGTAGCTTTCCCAAGGCCATGTTGCCCCTCTATGGCTGAGCAAGGGGGTGCAGGTGCTGTGGGAAAGGGAGGATGGCATTCCAGACTAGTGGTCTTGTCTGGGATACAAGAAAGGAACTGGCTGCTCACCGAGAGCCAGAAACTCACATGCGAGGTCAGGATGGAGTACAGAAAACATAAAGACACTAAACAGCTTCTAGTGTTTATTACTTGTCCTCTTGCAAATCACCTTTTGCTCTAACAACCTGGGTCATCCAGAGAGTCCATCGTGTGGGCACCTCAGCAGAGATGCCATTTGATGGCTTTCTACTCCACTCCGACTCTGCTGCCCAAGATATGAAGGTCAAATACGGGGAGTGAATACCAGAAGGGAGCCCCACAGGCACACCTTCCCCCAGAGCCACCTTTTTAATCATCATAAAATGAAAGCTCCAAAACTGCTTTCCACAAGCTTTATTCAGCCTGAAGTTATCAAGGTGTTATAAAAAATCATGACATGCTGTACACAAATTTGGGTTCTTATCTCTTCTGAAATCATAGTGTCTGGCAACACTGAAGATACAGCACAGCTCTGCTGTCGGACAGGTGAACGCCCACTGTCACAGTGTGCCTACCATCCACTGTGGCTTCAGCCTCCTCACTCCTTCTCCCAGAACACCCCATCATGCTTTGGACTTGGGAACTCCTCTTTCTTCAGCAGAGCCTCTGACTCTTGAAAGCCATGCGTCCCCTCCAGAATCCTGCCTAAGAAGGATGGGGAGAGGAGTGTCTGGGCTCTGGAAGGAGAAGGAAATTCAGAAGGTCTGAAGATCGGAGCCAAGCCCCAGGTCACACTGAAGCTCTGACCCTTCATTTTTCAGGGATTGAGACCTTAGGAACCATGCTCACCTGCACTCCCCGTTGGGATCCCAACTCACCTGTGCTTTGTCTTTTTTTTCTTCCACAGCGTCTGCACCTCAGTGAAGATGTGGCAGGGGCTACATTCATGGCAGCAGGCAGCTCAGCCCCAGAGCTGTTTACCTCAGTCATAGGTAGGTAACCTCACGAGGGCAAGGGAACACATCTCAGCCTTTGCCTACATTAAAGCAAAGGGCTGTAGAGATAGTGGCTCCCAAGCTGGGATTGTCAGCCATGATAGCAAGTGAAGACCAGGGGGCCCTAAGCAGAGCATCAGTCTTCCACAGTGCTGTTGGCTTAGTTAGGTGATACTTCTTTTCTATTTGAACTTGACCCAGACCCAGGACCCATAAATCAGTTTTCCCTTTGTGAAGCTCCCACCAGTCCTCAGTTGTTTCCTTGTAGATCATGAGAATAATCCTGTATTTGGAAAGGTCACCAAGTCCCACTAGGATATAGCTAGGCTACTTGAGCCAGGCTGACATCTAGTCTGTGTTTCAGGGGTCTTCATCACCAAGGGCGATGTAGGAGTTGGCACCATTGTGGGCTCTGCAGTGTTCAACATCCTGTGCATCATTGGTGTCTGTGGACTCTTTGCAGGGCAGGTAAGAAGGACAGCTCTTTTCTGGTGTTGAAGCAGGGAATCTGGAGTTGAGGGGCATAGTGCAGAGATGGGTTTTTCTTGCTGGGATGCAACTACATCAGGGACCAGTGATCTTGGGAAATGGTAAGTTGAAGTCTTGTACCCTACAAAGTTGGACCAGCTGGAATGGCCATCTCTGAAGATTGATGAGGCATAGAATCATCAGTTCTCTATAAATAATAGCCATCCTGAAAGATAGAAGTTATGAATTTGAAAGTATCGCTCATATTGATGGGTTACTGATGTGGCCTAGGATGAACTAAAACAATTTTCAGTCTGGTTTAGCCCAGAGGAAATAAAATAAATGAAGAATAGGAAAAGACCCACATTTTTTTCTGCCAAAATAATTTGAGGTGGTCAGTTTCAGACACAGCTTTTCTTCCTACAGAGGTGGCATTTTATTTCTGTGTTTGCTTTGGCTGCTTTAGGAGTTCAACGGGGGCATGCAGGCCTGCATGTTGCCTAGTGCCAGGAATTGTCTCATGAACATTGGTATCTGTTTTACAAAGTCTTGGGAATTTGATTAGAAGTCACCTAAGGGTGAAGCTGTCAGTCAGCCCAATTGCTTCTAGGGAGGAAAGAAACTTCTAGAAAAAGCAGCTTCTAGAAGTCCAGTGAAGTGTGACTCCACTTGTAATACTGACCATAATCAGTGACCATAATCACCCAGTCAGCAGCTTTGATATGGTTGGTGCTGTGCCCTGCTGGAAGTGGTTGGTTGACAGAAAGGGCTACAGGCAGCATCTCCTGACAGCTTTCTCCCTAACCCTGTGCCAGCCACCATCTCTTTTCAGCAGCCAGCAGGCATCCCTGGTGCAGACTCAAGAGTACCCATCAAGGTACATTTAGGTGCACCATTGCTGGTCTCTATAGACCATTTCTTACTACCGCCTTTTCATGTCATTGGTTTGTCTGAATTGCCAGGTTGTGTTTGTTTGTCACACTCTTTTTTTTTTTTTTTTGGGTCTGGTCGTGGGGCCTGAACTCTGGGCCTGGGCACTGTCCCTCAGCTCTTCAGCTCAAGGCTAGCACTCTACCACTTGAGCCACAGCGCCACTTCC